TTCTCCTTAGGTCTGGAATCTTCTAAGAATGCTTTTGGCCTCAGGAACTTGGGTGTTGGACTGACCTGAGATCCTGGCCGTGGCTGCGCCATGCATGGATGCAAAGTCAGATGGGGCGGGAAGAAGCCCCAAGATTTCCCAGGGAGTGGATTGAGTAGCTGGGTTGTACTGGATACAAACGATCAGGGAGAGTAAAGGTAAGCTTCGGAGTCCCAGAAAGAGGCTGGCGGGTGTTTCAGGACCAGGGAAGTAGAGGGAGGTGAGGGCAGGGCCAGGACCAGAAGCGGTGCTCCTGGGGCCCAAGAGAGGCACTGAGTTTGTTGGGTGAGAAGGGTCAGGAAGCAGTATTGGTTCCCCAGGTGTCTTTGGACCCTAGACTAGGAATGGCGCAGGGCCCAAACTAGGAGTATAGAACGGCGAGGCGGGGGGATGGAAGGGTGAATGTGGCTTAGGGGGGCCCGGTGTGGAGAGCTATGCTATAGACTTACCCCAGGAAGCCTGAGGATAGTAGTCCAGGCTAGGAGAGTTAGCAGGTGGTGCAGGTCGAGGGAAGCAGAGAGAGGTGGGAAGCCTGAGGATAGTAGTCCCGGCTAGGAGAGTTAGCAGGTGGTGCAGGTCGAGGGAAGCAGAGAGAGGTGAGGGTGGGGCCAGGACCAGAAGCAGTGCTCCTGGAGCCCAAGAAAGGGACTGAGTTGCTCTGGGTGAGAAGGATCAGGAAGCAGTATTGGTTCCCCAAGTGTCTGGGGCCCCAAGACTAGGAATGGCGCAGGGCCCAAACTAGGAGTATAGAACGGCGGGCAGGGGGGCCGGGGGCGGTATGGAAGGGTGAATGAGGTTAGGGAGTCCCGGCGTGGAGAGCTGCGCTATAGACTTACCCCAAGAGGCCTGAGGATAGTAGTGCAGGCTAGGAGAGCTAAAGGTTTTACTTTTTACATTGTAGAGTAAATACGAAATCTTTGCTACCCCTTGTCAGAATCTATTCTGTCCCTCTGGTGAGCAATTTGTCTTCGCTTCTATTTTCTTGCAGTTGCTTTCAATACAAAGACAAAGTTGGTGCCAGTGTTCAGTGAATATATGCTGTGTTTCGTGATCCTAATACGCACACCCTATCCTGCTTGCTTCTAATTTTCCTGGATGCAGTCCATGTGCGTTTCATGATGCCAATTCTGCCTTTAGCTCCAAGGCTGGGCCTGTGACTCATCATTCAGTCTCCCTCTAGAGAGTGACAGGTTCATGAATTGCCTCTGAACCGACCTGTGACAGTCAGTATCAGGCTAGGGATCTTCGTGCAAACTATTATCAGAGCAAACACTCTCTTTTCTGTGTCTGACTTGAGTCTAGAAGAACAAAGATTTGGAGGTCCTTCTATCCCTCTTATCAACACGTGGAATCTGACTATCTTGGTTTCTGAAAAGCAGAACCAAGGTGTGAAATGAGTCTTGTTCTTAGTGACAAACGTCTTGATTTAACCACCAGAAGTGACTTGAGATAATAGAGTAAAATTTCCCTCAGAGCCAGTCTGAGTTTTATTTTGAATCTTACAGTGAAAATCTCTATTTATAGATTGTATATAGGTAACACTTAATTTATTTACTTATTTGCAGTGCTGGGATCAAACCATGCCAGGCAAGCACTCAACCTCTGAGCTACATCCCCACCACAGGCAGCACTTTAACTATGAGTGCTTTTTATTTCTGCTTCATGTCCAAATAACAGATGTAAGAGGAGAATTTAGTTTACTCAAAATACATTTTGAAACTGAAATATGTTGTCATCTCTAGTATATTAAATTCTGTACTTATCAATTGGATAGTGATTAGTTTAGAAGATGGGATAATACCTTAAATAAAGATATTTCCTATAATATATATCGACTACAATAATCATACCATGCTAACATTCTGCGAAGTCTGCATTTGCAGAGCCTGGAATGATTCCAGCTGATGTTGAAGGACCTACAATGAAATTTTACAGTGTCAAGTTGAACATTTTTAGGTAGCTGAACAGATTCTTATATTGTTATGAATTTTAAAAAATGTCACACAATGTGGCTTGTTTCAAAAAAGGGTGACGTTAAGAATCTGCGAACCCATAGTCTTAGCTACGTTGCTGATTCTCCAGTGCACATTCATGGAAGGCTTTGTGAGAAAAATGTGGAAGAGTCTACACATTCAGGAAGCATTTATTCTGAATGAGATCAGCCTTTTTGTAGGATTTTGTACATAGTAAAATTAAATAGACTCACTTTCAGTGCTGATTGAGGTTGGATTTGATTTTCTGATTCCGATAAGCAGCCATATTCTAAAAAGTAAAATAACACATGTTGTTTAATTCCTAAATTTTATTTTTAAAAAGTTGCTACAGGAGCCTGCTAACTTGGATAGGGAGACAGGGAGATAATGAAAATATTTGATATTTACATTATTCTAATCACATGAGAATGAGTTCTTGTTTTAAGAAAATTCATGTGGGGTCAGTAAAAGTGCTAGCCACACAAGTCTGATAACTTGAGTTTGATCTTTAGAACCAATGGAAAGGTGGAAGAAGAAAAATCTGCCTCACAAAGTTGTCCTTGACCTCCACGTGTGCAGCATATGTGTCCTCCAGACCCACTAAACACACACACACACACACACACACACACCATCTTTTTTATTACTTTTAAAATTTTATTTTAATATCAGGGGCACCTATGTGCCATAGCATATATGTGGAAGTCAGAGAACAACTTTTGGGGAGTCAGTTTTCTCCTTTCACCATGTGGTCCCTAGGGAGCAAATTCATGTCAGGCTTGCATCAAGCACTTTTACCCATTGAGCCATCTTGCCATCCTCTCAGCAACCAGTGTACAAATTAATTTTTTTAAAGACAGGATCTCAGTAGGTAGTCCTGGCTGGCCTGGACTCACTGTGTAGACCAGACTGGCCTCAAACTCACAGAGATTCACCTGATTCTGCCTCCTGAGTGCTGGGATTAAAAGTGTGTTCCTTCTCTTAGGAAAAGAGATTCTTGTCCTTTGGCCCTTCTCTGCTATGTAAAAATGGGATTTAGGCTTAGAATACTTCCTTATCAGTAGGAGAATCCTCACAATCTGTGTTAAACCTCCCGTGGAAAGACCTTCCCTAAGGCAGACTTAATTCCTTTGCACTGACTAAATGAGTGTGTCATATGATACCTGGCCAATCTTGACAAACCCATACCATCCCTGTATCCTCAAGACAGAGCATGGGATCTTGTTATTTAGCACAAGAGGAGAACACGTGGGCCACTGAAGTACACTGGTTGCTGAGAGGGACCTGCTGCCATGGGGGTCTGATGCCTAGTGCAGAAATTAAACTTGTTCTCTCTTAGTTTTGTCACTAAAGCATTTTTCTGCTCAGCATTTGACTATTGTGTTTTCCTTGGCTACTCTAATACCAATATATAGTGAACAGGCATCCTTGGGTTTCTCAGGATGATGCACAACAGATGTCATAGGCTCAGCACCTTCCCAGAAGGTCATTTATAGATGTGCAGCATCTATAAGCTGTATACTATTTGCAAAATTCCTGATTTTATATCTTTGTCCACGTGTTAGGCAATGGTTTAACAAGTTTAAAAATATTTTATTATTTTTAAATTTTATGTGCATGAGTGTTTTGCCTATATGTATGTAAGTGCAGCACATGAGTGCAGTGACCAAAGAGGCCAGAAGAGGGTGTTGTTCCTTGGAACTGGAGTTATAGATGCTTGTTAGCCACCACATGGGTGCTGGGAATTGAACGTGGGTCCTCTGTAAGAGCAGTCTGTCCTAATTTGTTCCTCATTGCTGTGACAAAATACTCTGACCAATGCCAACTTGGGGAGGAAAGGGTTTATTTGTCTTACATCTCCCAGGTCACAGTTCATCAGGGAGCCCAAGGTAGGAACTCAGGGTAGGAACCTGGAGGCAGGAGCTGGAGCACAGGCCATGGAGGAATGCTGCTTACTGGCTTGCTCCCTTGGCCCCTGCTCAGCCTGCTTTCTTATGCAACACAGGCCCACCTGCCCAGGGCTGGCACTACCTACAGTGGGCTGGGCCCTCCCTCATCACTCATCAAGAAGATAACCTTCAGACATGGCCACAGGCCAGTCCAATAGAGGCAGTTCCCCGATTGAGGCTCCCTCAACCCAGGTGTGTCAAGTTGACACTAAAGCTATCCAGCACAATTGACCCCTTGTTAACTTGACACACAAACACGTCACTATTAAACCATAAGCTTTCTAATCCTTGTCCCCAAGCTATGATGTTAACATTACTATCACAACATAAGACAGTACAACCTTAAAAACCCCACAGCCCTTAAGAAAATCCAAACACTTGAAAGTCCATAGTCTCTTTTAAAAGTCTCAACTGTGGGTGGGCTTCTGTAAAATCCAAAACAAGTACTGTCTTATTTCAAAGGGAAGAATCGGGCACACCTAAGCAAAACCAAAGTCCAGAAAATTAGCTCAAGGCTGGACATCTGGGATTCACTCACGATCTTCTGGGCTCCAAAGGGTAC